GCCTACATTTAGGCGCAACCGTGTATTTTAAGAAATCTGATTTTTTATTTCTGCTGAAAATACACTTCGCACAATGATTTTAGCACCTGATTTGGAATTAGGGAACCCCAAATCATAAAGCTTAATTATCATAAATGCACTGGAAAGTTATTTAAGGGGTCGATCAACATTTCCAAATTCGAATTGGAATGGTTTCTATTTTGGCATAGTCGTTCAGATGAATAATACCGATTGGATGATAAACAATACATTATAATATTATCTCATCAGGCAGCACTAGTGTAAAATTTCACTCCAAATTGCTTGTTCTAGCTGGGCAGCTAAACTATCAGGTTGTGTTTCATAGGTAAGCTGTTCAGATACAGTGACAATTATTTGGAGAATTCTACCACCACATGGTGCTAGTTTTCCATTTGACTTCAAGTGGCTTGCTTTAAGTTGACAGCTCGAATAGATAGAATACACACTTAGATTTTTTCACCGAGATGGGCACCACCGAGCAGCTCGGCATTTTATTTTGCTGGATCTCAGTGAAAAACTTGCAGATATTCAGCTAACAAACGGGAATTTTGCCGAGATCTCAGCTAACAAACATATTTTTTGTTGAATTTCCAGCAAAATAAAATGCCGATCTGCTCGGTGGTGCCCATCTCGGCTAAAAAAAATCTAAGTGTGTACGTTTTGAATGCCGCCATACGATTCTTTGGTAAATCTTTATTTGTTCTTCTTCATGGCTATTTTGTCTCTAATGCAACGTTTACCTACAGCCTGCCTACAACTTTAATATTGTTAAGTAGTTTAGGTCAGCTGTGACTTGCAACGATCAATTCCCTTTATAATGGATCATATCATTCGATCAGTTTGAAAATTATGGAACTTTATGTTTTAGAGCTTTTATATCATTTATCATGTAAAAGTAATGTTGATATATTAGCAAAGTATGTTCGATGTACTTACAGAGATAAATAGAATATATTCTTTAAATTATGAGGTATTCCAGAAACTGTTACAGGTTGACTTGTATCGATTTAAGACGGCCACTTTCGGATGGGATGTGTTAAACCTCAAGGTTGGAACTAAATGCAGTAAATAACAATATCTCGTTTCGTGTTGTGTTATCATTATGAATTCGGAATACGGGGGCCTCGGGGGGTCCACCAGTAGATCCGGAATAGCAGTAAAAGTGGCCAATTCATGAATCTTGGTTCTGGCTTTCTACGAAGTTTCTGTTTCCTGCAATGTTGGTTAATTTTCAAGGCCAAATTGTGATGGTGAACAGGTAAATTTAGAATTACCTTACTACGCGGCGCTAGTGTACATCTGAACTTCCTGTACCTATAAGCTAAATCTTGATATCCTGACCATCTAGGAAGTTGCTGTTTACGGAAAACTTGTTCAAATTATCAACGCTTTTTGGATGGAAAATTAGTTAGTTCACATTTTTCCCACTACTCGGTACGCAAGTATGAATATGAACTTTCAGTGTGTACTACTTCTCGAAAACATGACCATCCAGTTGCCATCTTCGGCTTTTCTGATGATAGACAGACAAGTGACGTATAGTAAGAAAATTTTAAACTACTCTGTCCCCATCCGGAAGGTTTCATTCACCTGAACCAATTTCTTTTCTCTTTTTTTTTATTAAAAATATTTTCAGCCTCGGGTAACTTCTTAGAAGATCAGGACATCAACGTAAAGTCCACATGCACAGTAAGAGAAGTCTAAACTAATCTGCCCACAATTTAGAAGACCTTGGTCAGTTGAACAAGTTTCCCGAAGACGGAAACTTCCTATATTGTCAAGATCTTAATATATATGTGACATTGGAAATTGAAAATTAGCGTTGCATAGTGAAAAATTTTGAACTATTGTTCTCTAACCAACCATATTTGACCGACTGCATTACAGTAGCCTTCTATATGACCAGGATCATGATGTTCCCCGCATGATGTTTTTCTTGCATTATTTAGACTTTTTGTGGTTCGTGATAAAACATCTTCTAATGAAAAGCACATTTCCTGAAAATCGATGTAATTAGGGAAAGTACTCTAAAGATCAATATTCATTTAATTTATCGCGAAATTGTTGTACAGTTTTGGCTAAATTTTACTTTAAATTTAGGGGGCCATCTTACCCCATCGACCCCTAACAGTACCGCGTTCTACTCAGACAACTTTAATGGAAAAATATTGTCTTTCCAAAAAGTACCATCAAGATAGCCTAACATTCATAACCCTTTTGTAACCAACCCACACAACTGTGTTAGTCATATTTTCAAATCATTTTCTGCGAACTTTTTGTTTAAATTTCAAACAAGTACAAAGAAGGCAATAAATTCAGTGCCAACATTTCAAAGGGGTGTAATTGCATTTGTAAACAATGACTTTCGTCTTCGATTTCTCGCGAATGAAAGCTCACTCATGAAAATGAATGACACCAGCAGGTAGAGGAGTGTTTCCTGTCCCAGCTAGCATTGGTTATTTGGAAGGGTGGGCTTTTATTTGCGAGAAATCGACGGCTAAAGCCATTGTTTACAAAATCAATTACGCCCCTTTGAAATGTTGGCACTGAATTATTATAATTGTAAATAGTAAAACTTGTCAATTGAATTTACATGTAAAATAAGGCTTGCCTTTAAAATCATTTGAACATTTTCCCCGTCATGAAAGGGATAGACAAAGTCATTCGTATCATATTTGGTTGGAACTTAACATTTCCCGTCTAAACGTGGATGTTTAAAGAAGATCGTCAAAATAAGTTTTTTTTTCCTTTCATTGACAAGTAGCTATGAGACCTTTAAGCAACCGTTAAGACCACGAGCATTTCATGCATGGGTATATTATTATTATTAAGTGTGTTCAGTTTACGCACTCGTACAAACATCACGTGCGCGGCACAAAAATGGCAAACAATGAATGGAGGTCATCGAGTTAACCCATTTCCGACTAAAATCTAGGGACATCAGAATAAAACCCATTGTCGGGATGATTAAACCTTTCTTTCCCATAATTATTTTCGTAATTTAAAAATAGAAATCTTGGTTTCTAATTAAACCGCTAGAACAAAGATGTTAATTTTTATTTAGATTTATAGACTATGCTAAAAAAAATGTTTTTAGGTGGTGTGATCCATTGAGTAGATTACTACACTGGCGGTAATACATGTCAAAAATATTAACGTTTAATCATCACTTTATTTGCTTTAAATTGAACATCGTATCATGTATGTGTACCACCTATAAAAACTTAATGTCTAGCAATATTTATATAGTAAACCGATTGCCAAAAGCACTGAGTCTATTAGATTTGATCTATTGGATACAAATTTTGCCATTTATTTAAGTTTAAGAGTTGGTGCATAGGGTAGGTTAAGGTGACACCGCTGAACGCAAAAAAACTTTCCTCGTTCCTTGCATTGCCGCACAGTTCGATCTTCAACAGGTCAATGCTCCACTCCGTCGTATCGCCATTCCAGTAGTCGACCACTAGAGGACATGATTCATCACCTGTCATCCACATTTTTTCTTTAAAAATAATAGTTTTTTTTATGAATAATATCATAAAATTGTTATTGCTTCTGCTCTTTAGAATACTCTCAAGCATGTAAGTAATTTTCGTGTAAAAATGTTGTTTATTTGGTTATACATTGAATATCAAAAAATCGTTGCATTTATATTGTTTTTTAATTCCCGACTTTAGCACGGTTTTCGAGCTGTAGCATGAAAACAAGTTGATCAATACTTCATGACAACTTTGCATCAGGGTTACTTCCAATCATTTTGCATAAAAATAATGTTTTATGTGATTATGGAATCAATCTTTACATTACAATCTGTTCTTGTAACTAACAAATAAAAATAAAAACAAATAAAAATTAATGGATGTAACCCTGCTTTGCACAATATTTAATGAAAAAAATATTAATATGTGGTAAAAAAATAGAAATGTTGAAAGTTTTCCTGTTTTTATACGAATTGCGCAAAATTTTGGATCACCATTGCTATCATGAGAAAGGGTTAAGGTCGCTTCAATGGTTAATCTGAAAGGGTAGAACCATGTGCCAACAACCTTGAACATGTAAAGTAAGGAGCTCAAATAAATTATTGCCGCTTAGCTTCAGCTTCTGCCTAGCTACGGAACTTATGTCTGCTCTCAACTCAATGTACCTTCGAGCACTTCTACAATTATTTAGAACATTCTGGGCCTGTCACTGTCAACTGGATACCTTTGTAAATTATGTCGTGGGGATGATTATGCCGTGGGAACTGGAAATCAAATACTCATACTGTCCATAAAAGCATAACAATCCCATATGGATTTTTGTCAGAAATGAGTTGTTCATTAGAATTTATTGTAAACTACCGGCATTTTACACTGTTCACTAAAAGTAACATGTTCTGTTCAGAAAATATAATGATAAATACCAAAACTAGGTTGTTCCATTCATAAGAGTCTAGGGACAAATAAATGTTCCACAGCCTTTTTCTCGGCTTGCTGTTTTTTTTTTTGAACTTATGGGCAGTATATTTAGTTGGCGCAACGTCGTGGTTAAATCTTGAAGGACGTTGTACCAGCAAAAGTAAAGTAAGTAATTTTTGGAAACCCCGTTAGTGGTTTGCATACCCTTCTTTTTTTATTGAAGATGTCCTACTTTGAGGTGAACTTTCAAATAAATTATCCTCCTCACTTTTCATCTGGTGAGCCCATCTTTATCAATAACCGATGAGTAAAACACCGCAATTTAACAACACATTGAGCTTGTATGAACAGTTGCCTAACGTTACGCTTCTTCTGCAATAACAAGCACACGCGTATTTCCAAAATGGGTAAACATGCCGATTATCTCATCGCTCCATACCCCTCCCAAATACGACCTTGATCCCAACCCTCGACGTTGCCCGAAACATTGGGATAATGTATGAACAGATATTTGAAAGTATCCAATGGCGTAATGTGTACAAATAGCATGGTGGTGTGATATATTCAATGAATATCAAGCTGTTCATAGTTTATTGTTTCACTGCATTATCCTTACCACTGAATATGGCAGCAACTATATTAACAACTAGAAACCTTAAGTACTATTTAATTTTTTGATTGTTACACATGGTATCACACTTTGTTATTCTTGACGTTGGGAAGCGTTTTCCTTGAAACGAACAAGTCACGACTGCAACCATTATATTATCTCCTTGTACGATGATGCACGGCAATTGCATCAGTGGAGCGATGGTTAATGTTTAAATATTGACTTGTAAGTTTCACTTTTTTCTCATATTGGGTCATTCATGAGGGAAAACAGAATGACCAATAGATAAACAAATCCAATGTAACTGCTATGTACGTGGACAAAGTGGTACAACAACGCATTAAGTGAGCATTTACTCGTTAGCTTTGTTTAACTTTGCGGCTCTTCTTGATGTAGGTCTGTATATAGAAGTTGCTGAATAGACTGATCAGGATGACGAGGTTGACGGCGTGTAGCTTATAGATAAACTTGTTAGCAGCACAGGTTGGCTGCAATGCGGCATACACGTGGACCAGCATCGTCACCAGCTGAGCCAACTGGATGATGGTGATGGCGGGTTTCACACGATTCGTCAACGGATGGAACACTTTGTACGAGGACAGCAAATAGTACGAGTACATGATGATGTGAACGATCGAATTGAGTACCATTATAGACATTTCCTGATAGGCTATACGAGTAAGGAAGTGAGAAAAGTGATAAATTAGTATATGCTTCATTTGTCATTCCGGATCCATCTTACACAAACTGAGCTTAAGACTCCACCACACAATCAAGAAAGTGCTGATATGATGATAGACATGTAACGCCGACACCTGATTCTGCTTCTTTCGGAGAACAAAGAATATGGTCTCGGCAAACTCCACCATCCGCAGACACATTGCCAACCAGCCGTAATACACCGCGTCGTAGCCATATTCGTACTCTTCCACTGGCAGTTTTGGCGTGCATCTTCCGATGAAGCTAAATTTAAATCCTACTTTAATGTACTGCAAAGTGCGTCAACGAAGGGGATAGAGAAGAAAAAAAGAACCGAATAGAAATTATTTTGTGATTGGAACCAGCTACTTAGTATTCCAATGGCAAACTTACGCTCATCACCAAATAAGAACACGCTATGACTTGAAAGATATTATAGGCAGCTATAATCAACTTCAAATTGAACGGTTTGCGATTCTCCATATAGCTGAAAAAGATAATAATAAAAAGATGACAAACTGTTGAACTGCCTACCTGTAGGCTAGCCGGTTAGCTATATAGCGAACGATCATGCGTCATATTTTTGGCATATTTTTCGCCATCAGGCACTTACTTTGGACCCCATTTGTAGATAACATACAGATAGATAGCAATTAGTATGGAGCTCGGTACTGGGGATGCCATCAGTGGGTACTTGTCAATAGTGTCCTCTGCAAACGAAATTGAGAATAAGAGAGGATGGTTTTGAATTCGAATGGCATTTATGTGAAATTTCCATCAACACGGATATGGCACTAAAGAAAATGCCTGTTGCTAACGAAAAACAGAATACGCATTAATTTATTCAGCATTGTCTGGCTTAGTGGGACACCTGTCGCGAATATTCGGTGCTCAAAAGCTTGCGTTTGCTTAAAATATTTATCACATTCATTTTTTTCTAGATTAATGACCAAAACTCTCGGATTGATGTTAGGTTTGAAACATTCGAAAGCTTTATTATTCCCGGTGGATTTGATTTTAATCTTGTTATGCTCAATATGGAGTCTTCCGATAGTCTAGTAAAGGCGCGGTCCGAACAAGGAATTTGATCTTGTCTGCTGCTCTTTAATGGTCCGCTGCTTTGAATTTAATAGTACCATAAAAATGCGAAAATGTACTACGTAACACCAACAAAAGTGATTCTATCAGGACTATTGATATAAAACACATGTTTTGTGCTATAACATGTTTATTTGACGAGTTTTGAATAGATTATCAAACATTAGATTCTTGGTGTTATTTGAGATTTCTTCCAAATTAATCAAATTACAATAGAGTTGCGAAGTTGTGATTGCTCAAATTAATGATCTTGATAACTTGATTGAAGTTGGAAATTGCATGTAGAGCAAGAAGTTATTCAAATATAGAATATATTGAGCGTAGAGCCTAGAGTGGTTTTCCGTCTTTCGTCAATGATGACCAACTTCGAACATTCTTTAAGCTTCTATATAATAAAAAGAACTTTCAAGGGCCGAAAACTGGAACACTAGTGTCAAAACTGGCACACTTATCCTCTATGCAGGTAATTGATACGATTATAAGATATGAAAAAATGCGTTTTTTAAATGTCTTATACAACATAAAATTATCGAATAAATTCAAAAAAGTTATTAATTTAAATCAAGCTTAGCAAGTTCCCATGCAAGCTTAAATCAATGTTGATTATTTTATGCTGTATTGAAGAACTTAAGACGGACCGAAAAATTGTAGATCACTTGTACTATCATGGGATGGAAAGGGTTAAACAAAATTGAAGTAATATTTTATTGCCAATGGGTCTTTAGAATGAATTTCGGGAATAAAATTGAGATCTCGAAGTTCAGTGTACTAGAGTTTGGTTCTGAAACTTAGAAACATTTTCAAGATCTTGGACTTTAAATTAGAAAATAAAAAAAAATTAAAATTTGAGATTTCTTAAATTTTATTTCGTTTAATTTTAGTTCCTCTAATTCCGCGGAGCAACTAATACCGTGGGTTTGACAGTTAATTTGAAAATTTTGCTAGTTATATTGATTTTTTTCCAATATTATAACCGCAAGTGTTAGACTATGGCAATATCTTTACTAAGGCAAAACTTTAGGGGTAGTTTTCGGCTCTCGCATTCTTTATTAAGCAGCTACAACAATGTTTGCGTCTACTATCCGTTTCGATGATATACTACATCTTCATCTGGGATTTTGAGACATAACAAATATGACAACTGGTTACACTTACGTACAAAATACAAACTATTGATAGAATAATAATCACGGACTTAGGACTTCGCCGTACTTTTTAGTTCCACCGTGGTTTGAATGCAGTAGCGAAATGGCTTAATAAAACGTATGAAGTAACATAAAACACTTTGAATGTAACAACTCAAGGCGGGAGTAGCCGCCAACAATGCTGATGATGGTACAGCACGCAACAACCACCCTACTGCCTTCTATCTCAGATGCCCAAGTTGGTCATGGCGAGAGGAGCAACACAATAGTTGGGTAAAGAAGAATTGCATTATAACACACCATCGACTGGAAATGCTCTCGCAACGTGGGGCTTTAGGTAGTGATGAAAAAGAACTATTCTATAGCCGCAGTCAGTTTATGAGCAAAAGAAGGACGCACATTTTTTGCCTGTAGACTTGGAGACATACTTCAAGTCTCCGCGTACATCGTACGGGTTAGGCAAAAGATGTGCGTCTAACTTTAAAAACTTTCGCATTAATGGCCCTTCGCTCATTTTCAACTTCTATTCAATTTTCATACTGCCGTACTTTAACGGAACTATCCACCTACTCTCTTCTAAAGATCATTCTCTAGCTAATAAATTATCACACTAAAGCTTCATGTTAGCATTTCCAACCAACTCTTATTTACTTGCTCGTTTTTTTCTCACACTAATGATTGCCAACTAATGGTTACCATAGGAGATTGCCGATCAGCTAGCTTCTGCACCATATCAGCTATACCGCAGGAAAGCTACCTAGGACCATTGATATTTCTACTCTACTTTAATGACGTACATCTGGTTATCGAAGGACCTCGATTGTCGTATGCAGATGACCTCAAAATCTTCCAACATATCCGCTCGATGGCTGACTGTCACCTTCTTTTCAACGACAGCCTAATGTTTCCGTCAGTAGAAGTACTCTAAACCGAATGGTTGGGAATCCAGCCAAGTGCTCTGCCATAACGTTCTCACGAAAAATCTATAATATTCAACTACGTACTGCTTGGCGCTACACTAGAACGTGAGTATTGGGTGAAAGACCTTGGTGTGGTCTTAGATTCACATCTATCATTCAGACCACACATTTCGTTTGTTGTCAATAAGGCGTCTAGGACTCTAGGATTCATGTTCAAAGAATTTCACCGATGTTTACTGCTTAAAATCTCTCTACTGTTCCCTCGTACGATCGACACAGAAATATTGTCTTACGGTTTGGAATCCGAACTACAATAACGGTGCCGAGAGAATCGAATCTATTCAACGTCACTTTCTTTGGAGAGATCCGCTTCGGCTACCCAGCTTAGAGAGCCGTTGCCAACTGATAAATCTAGAACCTGTTCGGGTTAGAAGGGACACTAATCGAGCTTTGACTATCACCGATAATCTAGAGGGAAGAACCAATTGTGAGGCTCCCGAGTCAAATCGATCTATATGTTCAACCCCGACCGCTTCGTAACAACCTCATGATAAGACTGCCACTGCATCGAACGAACTACGAGCCATACAGAGCGATTCACGGGCTACAGCGAGCGTTCATCAGCGTCGCATCTGTCTTCGACTTCCATCTCACACGCGATGCGCTTCGCCAGAGATTTTCATTCGTTTTCGCTTGAAAACTAATGTACACTCAATTCTGATTTTATGCGTTTCTTTTTTCGATTTTGCAGGAATGGTACAGTATTTTTAATACCACCTGATAGGGTAAATGATGGCTTCGACACCCATTGACTGTTTTTGGCAACCAACATTTAAACGTAAATTTCGCTGTATTTTCTCACCAAAACACTTCGCTGAATGTATTTAAACGGTTTCTTAGTCTTTTAGCTTCAATCTGATTACATTTTTACGACTGAGGAAACCCATTAATTGTGTCAGGAATTTCTTCAATTGAAATATACGCACTACAATATACGACTCATTTTGAGTTGCTGAAAATTGCTAACAGAAGTGCGGACGCTGCTTAGATTGACGAGTATACGTAAACTTCGCTATTTGTTTTTTTTTTTAAACAAGTTGCTTTAAATTTGGTTGAAAAATAAAATCATACGATCATACAAAAAAAAATATCGCCGTAAAATATAATTGAGTATATTTACCATGTTGCTTTGTTTTTACTTTTTACGGTTTATTTGAGATGTAACTCGTTTACTATTAGTATTATCAACATAATTAGGGCTACAACCATCCTTTTAACAACAACGACATTCGACTCAGTGACCATTCGGCCTAATGACGCAGCATCTGTAAGATTGCTTGTATTTACTTTTTATAATCTGAAATGATGCGTCGAAAAATAACTGGATTTGATTTTTCGAAAAGCGCACCAATGTAAATTGCACTATAAAATATTGAAAAAAAAGCAAAGTTTATAATAAAATAAAGTGAATTTCTGAAGATTTGGCGAGCAATAAATGCTTAAGTATGACTCTTTGTTTAGTTCAATGGAAAACTATCAAAATGATTCATGAAATTCTTTTCTAAGGTTCAACTTTTAACGTTATAAGTACATTAAACTTATGAATTTAGAATAATAAGGATGGTTTTCTGCATCTGAAAAAATTTCTGGACAACGTCTGGCGTCATGTTTATGCACCATTGAGTCGAAAATCTTGTATGGTGGATGGACTCAAGTTTTTTAAATGTTTTTTTGCTGAAATAAAAGTTACCACAGATTGTCAGGAAGAATTCTCACAATTTCATCCTAATAAGCAAAATATTTTTATTAGCTTATCCTATCCAAAGCATGAACTCGTAAAAAATATTCGTAAAACTCAACCGGAATCGCTAATCGAATATGTCGCTCTATTTTGCATAAATCCTATACCAATGACACATTTCCATTTCTGCGATCAACTCAATATATTTTTTGTTTAAGTCTCGTGACTAACTTATCAAACCTGAAATACACACGTGTTTCTAATCGGCCGAGGCGGCTTCATTATAACCATGCATAAATTAGACATTACTACCCAGACTGCAGAAATGTTAAAATATCGAAAGAATATTTATGACCATAAAACTATCCCATTTACTACTTATATTTGCATGCTCGTGTGGTTAAAGTTTGTGCGATTTATTATGTCTAAGATTTTCAAAGTCAGTGGCATGTGGATTGACATTCTTTTTATTGTTTTTTTTTTATTGCTAACAATAATAATCATCCAGGAAGTTACATTCAAGGGTAAAATATGTTGTGGTTATTACTTATTATGCAAATAATAATGTTATGGCTAAGTTTTACATTTCGCAACAGGTTTTCATCTAATTTTCTTACGCTCATTTTGTTTGCTATCATTTAAAAGCTATGCTAAATGAACTTTCACGCACCTGCAAACCTCAGGGCATAAAATTAGAAGGGTCAAAACCCATTACTTCCAAACGTTCATAGTTTCTTTCTATACCTGCGGCCTGTTCTGTTGAATATTAATTTACAACGCTATACTCAGTCATGTAACGAATACTT